AATTATATATATTTATAATTATATAAATTATAAATTATAATTATTAATTATATTATAATTAAATACCCCGTCGGTTTGGCGGTAGGAAAAGATTTAAATACTATCCGTCGCGGAAGGGTTAATATGGTCCTTGCATTGAATAACATTCTCACTGGCCTATATGTATTCAAGAATGTATGTATTGATCTTTAGAATGTATTTTTTCCTTGTAAATAGGGTGAAGTTGTTCTAGTGCCCAATTAAGCACTGTGCTATGAAGACATATAAGAGAGTATTAAGATACAGCTCCATGCATTTCCAACTTCATCGCTAGGTGGAGGTAAATGGTCAGCTTCATGCTGCATTTGCCTCACCTCTGGAGAAAGAGATTGCAGTACCCAGTCAACATGAGATTTTGTGGGCTCCAAAGCCAGGGTGTGGATGTGATATGATGTCAAAGAGAGAGAGATCTCTTGCCTCTTCCAGGAACCTAACCCCACTCATCAAACCACTGTATTGTCTGAGCTACCCCAGCTCCATTCCACAAATAAATAAACTGGAAAGATGAGTTATATTTGTTTAAGATCCTTTAATTCCCTGATTTGTTTAGGCAACACTGATAAACACTAACCGAATTAACACTTAACTGTTTGTTGTATGAGATGTCAGTTTCATGTTACAGCCATGACAAAGGAGTTCCATGAAGGAAGTAACATAATTTTTAGTGACGATACTTTCATTTGTATCATTATGAAAGTACACAGCAATCAAGCCCCCCCCCCCCAGNCCCCCCAGTATTTTATTTGTGGGGAAAGGGAAATCAGATTTAAAAACAACAGGAAATACATCAAATATGAATACTAAAAGTTAGAAGTAATAAAAAAATGAATCCCATATTCTGAATACCCATAGGCTGTGCAAGTGTGCTTCTCTCGCCATTTAATGTATTTCAACCTGGCAGCGACATTTGTTTTAGTATTCCATTTTACTGTATACAGCATATGATTAAATTAATCATGTTCTTGTTGTAGTAACAGTTGTAACGTTTGAAAATCTTGTAATTCTGTTTTTTTTTTTCCAGATATTATAAAAGGCTTGAAAAAGCGGTACATACCAATCTTGAAAACGAACAGTAGAAACTACCAACTTCAAAGGTTAAGAATGGGAGAAAATGGAAACCTGTTTGTTCTTCAAGAAGATGATTGTGTGGTGCATTAAATTTTCAGACCAATTTGTACTGTGAATTGGTAGTTGTTTTGAGAAGGTACCATCTCTTCTTTTATGCCAGTGGTTTGCTTCCATTTAAGATATGTCTTTTTTCACAAGTGTTTGTTTTGGTGGTGACAAGATGTAGCAGAAGTAATGCTGTGATCTCTTGAGTAAGAGTACAAGTCACCATCATACAAATCATTGCTGAAGACTGCAGTCAGTGCTACAGAGACATTGTTCTTTTTAATTTTCAACAACATACTATTTGGATGAGCTAGAAAACCATCAAACAGTTTAATGCAAGTCACATGATTTCAGATTAATAAAGTTAATTAATTTTTGTTCACACCTATGAATTTGTCATAATAATATTGTAGCGTGTTGGGTGTGTCACGCTACAAATAAATCCACGCCGTCCTTTGGTATAGCGAATTTATTTCCTTCGCTCACTTATACACACACTTTACAGGCATTTTCACTTGCAGTGTCACAATCACTGCTTACAATATTCCGGCGATACTGGACCCAGACGGATATTTCGAAGCTTCTTCTCCGAAGGCTGTTCCGCGACTTTTTTCTTCGAAGACTATTCCGAGACTCACTTCTTAGCTAGCTATTCGAAGACTGACTGTCTTCTCGTCGAAACTGGGCTTTTATAACCTTGCCCGCTGTTAGGCAACGAACCCTCCGTTATAACCATGGAGACTCCTGTTAGAATTACCATGGAGCAATTGTTGTCTCCTCCTCTGTAACGGTCTATTGTAGCGTTTCCCTAGAAGTCTCTTCCTCTGGTTTGCCGACACGTTACAATATAATGAAATAAGTTCTGAGAAGGAATTGTGATATAGTTTTTGTAATTCTTCATTTACAAGTAGATACAGGTTGTCATATGCGTTTGTGATCTATCTCCATACTAGGTTTCACATTCCCAGGTCCCAGTGCATGAAACTGATTAAGGGTGATTCTTCATCTAAAAATCCCCTCTAGATGTATCGCAGATGAACTCTGGAGCCTCCAGAATGTGAATCCAGTAATAAATTGTAGATTATGCTTAAGACACAGTAGCTTCATCTTTGTGTGCAATACAGTGATATGTCCTCATTATTTGGATTGTGTTGCAGTTTGCAGAGAACGCTACATTTGTGTTTCCCTGTCGCATAAATACAGGTATCATTCGCGAAGAGAGAAACTATGTTCTAGGTGCTGCAGGTGCATTATTTATGTGTAGACTGTGCAATATTGGAGCAAGGACTGAACCTTTGGGCACCCTTACCTGTATTTTTTGTGGTGTAGATAATTTGCCTTCTACCAAGACTTTAAATTTTCTGTCAATCAGAAAAGACGCTATTAGTCAAATGCGACTTGTCAAAAAATTCTAATTCTGACTATTTATATGGTAAGCCAGAGTGCCATGTTTTGTCAAAGGCTTTCTCAGTGTCCCAGAACATGGCAGCCGTCAACATACAGCCTCATACATTGGAGTGTCATACTGTGATCTGCTCAAAAGTGTAACTGACTTGCTTTTAGGAAGTTTCTTTCCTCAGTCTACGTTTGGATTGCTCTTAAAATCAGCTTCTCAAATAGTTTGCCATTAATGGACAAGAGGCTGTTTGGACGTAAATTTTGGGGAAATTTGGGGACTTTGCTGGGTTTCAGCAGAGTTACAATTTTTGCCTCCTTCCAATATGCTGGGAAGTGACCAAACCAAAGGCATTGATTGAATAAATATGCTAAATGCACAAGAGGTTTTCTTACAAGATGCCAGAGATATTAATTTGGACTACTATCAAAACCACAGGCCTTTCCTAATTTCAGGAATTGTATTTCTTTTGAGATGTCACAGGATCAGAAATTAATGAGGATATCTTCATCGATGAAATCCAGCAGGACTTCAACTTGAGCCTCCACATGTCGTCTGTGGTCATACTCATACAAGTCATGTGCTCTGAACTGGTTTTCTAAGAAGGCTGCGATTATTTTGGCTTATTCAATTCAGTAAAATATGGGGCATAATGGACCATGAAATACAGATTGTGCATTTGGTCTGCCACCTTTTGTGATGGATTTTGCAGTAGGCCATATTGCTTGAGGTGTAACTTTGTTTCCCATCCTCCAAGTGCTCTTTTCCAGAACATTCTCCATATAGTTGAAGTGAATCAATTTACTGCCGTTTTGCTTGCTGGAGCTGTCGTTTCTTGTCAAAATTTTCTGAGCTTTTATGCTTTAATAAACGTTCTAGGCCAGGTATTTCATATTTCCAGTAGAGGCTGCAAAGTCACTTGCTGCTTTGTCAACTTCATTACAAGAGTGAATTTGGATATATGTTTTTAGAGGTCAAGGCTTCAAAACAATCCCAAGTCTGTCAGTTTTTCAACTGGATCAAAAGCTTCCCTCTTTCTAACAGGGTCCAGAATGCTAAACAGTTGGACATTCTGATGTACTGTCACCTCTACCGTCATATGTGTATTATGTAGAGCATTGTGGAGCAAAAATTTCAAAGGTAGAACGCACAATTCCAAGAGTTTCATGCCTAAGGGGTTTAAATATTTACTATTTCAACAGGGTGCTTTGCATTCACATCACCTGTCATGATGGACTTATTTCTAAAACATAATAGCTCTGTGTTGTCTGTGTCACTGAATTGCTAGTCCTTGTTAGCCCCAGTATGGACCAAATGGAAAACCTCTCTTCCATTATGCTTGTTCTCTCATTTCTGGGGAACATGTCTAAAGAGCTGTTTCCTAGCAACAGCTGTTGTACTGTTACCTGTTTACACATCTGTTACTTGGCAATATATCTACATGTCATAGTATGTCAATTTCTATAAATTCCCAGTGTTCTTGTCTAGTTTATATGTTGTATTTTGTCTTTTTGTTGTTACAAAACCGCCATGGGCTTACCTTCAGATATAATTAGCATGAGATAGAGGGTCATTCTGTTCCTATGGGTTTACCATGTGGGTGGTTTGTTCATTTGATGTTCTTCAATTCATAAAATCATGGTACAGAAATTTGAAATGTTGTCATTTTAACTTTCTATGATGAAGTAACACCCAAGTTCCTAGTGTTGGATGTATTTGTTTTCCTTAATATTGAAATATGCTTCATATGTTTTGCATGCTGTAGGCTGTCCCTTACAATGAAGTGATTGTACTTTATATTTATCTGTTTTTCTGCATTTTATTGAAATTTTTTGTTACAAATAAAGTGGCTGGTGGGCGGCAGAACACATAATGATTGTGCTCTTGCTTACCATGTTTCATTTGGGAATAGGGAATTTTAAATCACACAGTATTATCCAGCTGGTGGCCTGATTTATGTTGGTGGCAATAGTATTAAAATTATAAAACGGCAATGCTTAGCCCACTGGATTACACACCAGTACTGTTACAGTAGTGCCATGCATGGCCGATGAAGGTTAATGTATATGGCACAGTAATAAAACCATCAGATACAGTGTTTCATAAACTTCAGTTTAATTGTAATTAAAATTGAATAGCACATTCACCGTCCTCAGGTGTGTCTCTTATTATCAACAGAACCCTTAGAAACTGACATTAATATAATACTGTTACATATTTAGGTGTGTGTGACTATAGACGGAGTATGGATTGGATATTGGGTTTATTGACTACATTAACACACAGCTCGTAACTACAGTTAATTACAGCATTATCGCTAATTTCCACGCATTATAAATCATTAGGACACGCTAAGTCTTCTAAGTCTTTGCTAGTCATATCCAAGCAACAGATTTATAATGGTCTCACTGTAACTAAGGCACATATAACATTTTCTTTGCACAGTCGGACTACCAAGTCAACTGAACTCTCACTCTATTCCACAATGATTTCAGCTCTCAATTCAGTTTTCTGCTACAACTGCCATCTCTCCTCAGTTATCTTTGACTGCCGATTCTCAATTAACTCTTCCAATCATTCTCAGCTTGCCTGGGTTCCTTGTTATATAGCCTCGGGGCTAACCCAACAGGAAACACAGTGGCCTAACAATCCCTTCACTGTTTCTTGTTTACCGAGCCGTTGCTTAGCAGTGAACGTCTATTCTGTCTCCACTATTCTGGCTTTCAGGCATCATGTCACATTGACACCTCCATAAGGTTGTTTGTCCCGAATGCTTACAGACGTACCGTCATTTATTCTTTTCCGAGGGCTGTGCTTGCAACATTTGTTCTTGGTTTCACCTTCCATTCAGCGGTTCAGTTTTTTCCATGGTGTTTACTCTCCAACTGCTCCCACTGCTCGCCACAAGCGTCTGTCTTATAAAGTGCCAGTCAGTCCACATTTATCTTCCTCTGGTTGGTGTGGCCAGAAGTTCCAAGAGTGGTCAGTGCTCCAACATTTATTGCTCCTACTCTGTGTGCCATGTCTTATTTTGTTTCGGAGTGGACTGACCGCTCCACAATGTCTTTTGATGTTCATTTTCCGTGAAGGTTCGACTCTTCGCTTCAGATCTCGAGCACGAGGGCCTCCCTGAGGATCCTACCGGATGTTCTGTCCTTCCTTAGATGTATTTGCTTCTTTAAGCCTCGGATCTATATTTCATTCATGCCTTCCTGGCACATCCGTGGTCTCCTCTCAAGCTTCCATCCTTTATGGGCTGTATGACCATGTCCCTTATGCCATGCCACTCCTACATGGCAGGTCATACCTCTGCAGGTGGTGGTCAACTTCTTCTGGTTATTCTGGGACTCACCATTATCCTCTGTCCACTCTCTTGGCTGACCATGGTGCCTTATGGCTACATGCCGGCCACTGTGCTGCTTCTTCAGTGATCTGACATCATCTTCTCGTGGCTGGCTCTCATCTCGGCCCTCATTTTGTGTCTGGCTCTTATTGAAGCCAACAGGCATTCCATCGTAGTTCCATTTCTGTTATATGGCAATATAATGNTCAGTTTTCCATGTAATATGAATGTGATTCCAATCCAACCCATTCTGACACCAGTTTCCTAACAATCCCTCCATTGTTGCTTGTGTATTCATTGCTGCAGGAACATATTTACCGAGCTGTTTGCCTAGCAGTAAATATCTACTCTGGCTTCACTATTCTGGCTTTCAGGCGTCATGTCACAATACATTTAATGTTACTGTGGCATATAGAACTATTGCTAGGCAACGACCATGGAAGAAGCAGCCATGAGACAGCTGTTACTGAGTAACTGCTTCTCAAAGAAGCATGTTTCCATGGCAACAAATTGAAACAGCATTGGAGGAACCATGTTTTCTGTGCAGTCCGTGCCAAGATGTTATAAGCAGGCCAGTTTGTGAAGTAAAGTCAGTTGAGTGAAGTTAGTGAAGTCATTTAGTTAGCAAGTCAGTCAGTGAACTGCTGAG